ATTTGGCACTGTGTCCCTGGAGGCTTACTCCTCTTCTTCTGTTAGTTGTCAGGGGCCACTCCTGGGAACTGAAAGAACTGACATAAAAAATGGGGATACTGGACCCTCCCATTGGCCTATTCCCTTTGGCCATGTGCCTGAGGTGAGTGACATCAGAGGAAACATTAGGCCCTAATGATATGTGGGAATTGGTACCATTTTTAGGAGGCACCAGATGTCTTCTTCCCCTAATTTGTGGGCTAATGTTACCCCTAAACCCAAGATAAAGCCCAATTCCTGGAGTTTGGTTAGATTTGGAAAGTTACTGCTCAGCTGATGAACAAGTTTTATTTGTTTTCCACTGGAATTAGAAAAGTGAAAAATAAGCCGGGTGCGGTGGCTCACGCCTGTAATCCCAGCACTTTGGGAGGCCGAGGCGGGTGGATCACAAGGTCAAGAGGTCGAAGCCATCCTGGTCAACATAGTGAAACCCTGTCTCTACTAAAATACAAAAATCAGCTGGGCATGGTGGCGCGTGCCTGTAATCCCAGCTACTCAGGAGGCTGAGGCAGGAGAATTGCCTGAACCCAGGAGGTGGAGGTTGCGGTGAGCCGAGATCGCGCCATTGCACTCCAGCCTGGGTAACAAGAGCGAAACTCCGTCTCAAAAAAAAAAAAAAAAAAGAAAAAGAAAAGAAAAGTGAAAAATAAACCAGGTGCAGTGGCTCACGCCTTTAATCCCAGCATTTTGGGAGGCTGAGATGGGAGGATTGCTTGGGACCAGAAGTTTAAGACCAGTCTGGGAAACATAGTGAAACCCCATCTCTTTTTGTAAGAAAAAAAAGCTTATTTTGAACCCAGGAGTTAAACACTGTGGTGAGCCATGATCCGGCCAGTGTACTCTAGCCAGAGAGACAGAGCAAAACCTGGACTGGACTCTAAAATAAAGAAAAAAAAAAAAAGGTTGTTCTGATTTTGTCTGATTTGTCCATCTGTCCAGTTTCCCTGGACTCCCACCCAGTATATTCTCCTTTTCAGATGAAGTCTCGCTCTGTCACCCAGTTTGGAGTGGTGCAGTGGTACAATCATGGCTCACTGCAGCCTTGACCTCCCCAGGCTCAGGTGATCCTCCCACCTCAGCCTCCTTGGTAGCTGGGACTTCAGGTGCATACCACCACTCCTGGGTAGTTTTTATATTTTTTGTAGAGATGGGGCTTTTGCCATGTTGCCCAGGATGGTCTAAACTTCTGGGCTCAAGCCATCTACCCACCTTGGCTTCCCAACCAATATATTCTTTTAATAAGAAAAATGGTTTAGGGGCCCCAGAGATCACCAGCTTTTCTGCCTTACCCTTTATCCCCTCAAGAAGATACAGAGGACCATTTCCTCAATTCATATATAGATTTAGGGTAAAGCCTTAGTATAAAAAAGATTTGTCAGTGACTCATGCCTGTAATCCCAACACTCCAGGAGGTCGAGGCAGGCACATCATTCGAGATGAGGAGTTTGAGACCAGCCTGACCAACATGGGGAAACCCTATCTCTACTAAAAATACAAAAAAATTAGCCAGGCGTGGTGGCACATGCCTGTATTCTCAGCTACTTGAGAGGCTGAGGCAGGAGAATCACTTGAACCTGGGAAGCGGAAGTTGCAGTGAGCCGAGATCATGCCATTGCACGACAGAGCAAGACTATGTCTCAAAAAAAAAAAAAAAAAAAAAAAAAAAAAAAAAAAAAACAAACCCAAACCCACAAACAAACACAAATTAGCCAGGCATAGTGGTGCCCACCTGTAATCACAGCTACTAGGGAGACTGAGACATGAGAATTGCTTGAACCCAGGAGGTAGAGGTTGCAGTGAGCTGTGATTGTGCCACTGCACTCCAGCCTGGGCAATGGAGTGAGACTGTGTCTCAAGAAAAAAAAGAAAGAAAGAAAAGAAAAAGATACAGGTTCAGTTTGTCAGTATGGGTCAAAGGTGAGGAGGACAAAGTCTGAGCTGGGAAGAGATGAATAAATGTTTGCAAATGTTATGTCCTTCACTGTTTTGGAAGCCATCAACTTTCTGATTTCCTCATGATTCTGGGAAAAGGCAGGATTAAAAACAGCAACAACAAAACCAAAATTTAAAAAAAAAAAAAAAAACAGCAACAACAACAATAACAATGATAGTAATTCAGGTCATGAAGATACCAAAGCAAATGAGATGTTTGGACTGTCTTTTTCCTCTGGTTTGTTTCTCCTCAAAGTGAGAGGATCACCCACATCCTTTAAGAGTGAAGATGATTGGGAGGTCGGGGACGGATAACACGGGGAGAAATGCCAGATGTGGGTGACGGGGGGATGGAGGCAGCAAACCACATTGCTATGTGTGTACCTATGCAAGAATCCTGCATGATCTGCACATGTACTCCAGAACCTAAAGTACAATTTAAAAAAAAAAAGAGTGAGGAGTAGGTGTGTTCAGGGGCAACTGACGTTTCCAAGGGCTAAGACACTTTCTTTTTTTCTTTTTTTTTTTGAGAAGGAGTTTCGCTCTTGTTACCCAGGCTGGAGTGCAATGGCGCGATCTTGGCTCACCGCAAACTCCGCCTCCTGGGTTCAGGCAATTCTCCTGCCTCAGCTTCCTGAGTAGCTGGGACTACAGGCACGTGCCACCATGCCCAGCTAATTTTTTTGTTTGTTTGTTTGTTTTTGTTTTTTTAGTAGAGACGGGATTTCACCATTTTGACCAGGATGGTCTCGATCTCTTAACCTCATGTTCCACCCGCCTCAGCCTCCCCAAGTGCTGGGATTACAGGCTTGAGCCACCACGCCCGGCCGGCTAAGACACTTTCTAGCTCTGGCCAGTCTTGGTGTCTGTTTGTTCTGAGCCTTTCTCTACTTCCCAGCCTGAGCACTGCTTCCTTCCACCAGGGCTGCTCTGCTGTCTCCCCACAGTCCAGGCTGTGCTGCTCTTTTGCTGTGTCCTGCTGTCCCTGGCGGCTGCCTTTCCAAAAAATGCCCAGAATGAGACCCCGACCCTCCAGTCGTCTTTCACAGAGACTGGGCATCCATCAAACATGTTCTCTATATTTGGAGAAACTGGAAAGCCAGATTCCTCTCCCAGATCCCGGGACTGGCCAGGATCTTTTACACACAGCCCGTTCCCCAGCCCCTCTGCCTGAGTACCTATCCAACTTGGCTCTGAGGATGGCCCTGGACGAGGTTGGCTACCCGACTGAGGCCCATGTTCTGTTGCTTCAGGTGGGAGGAAAGGATACCACTGAAACCCTCATCCATGACAGTCGAAGAGTTCAACAATAAGAAGGGCAATACCAACATCATTGTGAAGAATCTAGTGGTCCCTCAGGGAAGTGTGAATAAATCAGCACCTAGCTGCCCATCCTGGAAAATGTATGGATGGTGGCAAATATACCCACTGGGGTGGCTGGCGTACCAGTTAGCTCAGATGGTGAGTGAGTTTGCTGAGAAACCATCTCCCACAATGCTTGGTGTCAGTTCAAAGCTTTTGGTATAGATATGACCAAGAACTGCAGGTATGAGTCTTGGGAGCATACTGAAGAATTAGGCAAAAAGTTCAAGAAGCTCCCAAGTTAAGATCAGTTAAAGGTCTAAGGACAGTGACAATATACTCTATCAAATGTTTCACAGCTATTCTGAAGTGCTTTGTGAGGAAAACCATCCAGAAATTAATCCTGGCCCACTTCAGCTATTCAATGCCACATAGGTAACAAGAATCCTTTCCCAGGACTGTGTTCAGGGATGGGACACAGTAAGTAGTTAGAAATGCTGGAGACCACTTAGGACAGATGAATGCTCTTTATTTCATCCCTTCACTTAAAGACAAATGAGACCCGGCCGGGCGCGGTGGCTCAAGCCTGTAATCCCAGCACTTTGGGAGGCCGAAGCGGGTGGATCACGAAGTTGAGAGATCGAGACCATCCTGGTCAACATGGCGAAACCCCATCTCTACTAAAAATACAAAAAACTAGCTGGGCGTGGTGGCACGTGCCTGTAATCCCAGCTACTCAGGAGGCTGAGGCAGGAGAATTGCCTGAGCCCAGGAGGCGGAGGTTGCGGTGAGCCAAGATCGCGCCATTGCACTCCAGCCTGGGTAACAAGAGCGAAACTCCGTCTCAAAAAAAGAAAAAACAAACAAACAAACAAATGAGACCCATGTTAGCCTTGCCCCTCTCCACTTAGTAGGTGTCAGCCCCTTTTTTCTTTTTCTTTTCTTTTCTTTTTTTTGAGATGGAGTTTCGCTCTTGTTACCCAGGCTGGAGTGCAGTGGCGTGATCTCGGCTCACCGCAACCTCTGCCTCTTGGGTTCAAGTGATTCTCCTGCCTCAGCCTCCCAAGTAGCTGGGACTACAGGCATGCACCACCATGCCCAGCTAATTTTTGTATTTTTAGTATAGACGGGGTTTCACCATGTTAACCAGGATGGTCTTGATCTCTTGATCTCGTGATCCACCTGCCTCGGTCTACTAAAGTGCTGGAATTACAGGCATGAGCTGCCGCAGCTGGCTTCTTTCTTTTTTGAGATGGAGTCTTGCTCTGCTACCCAGGCTGCTGCAAGCTCCATCTCCCAGGTTCAAGCGATTCTCCTGCCTCAGCCTCCCAAGTAGCTGGGACTACAGGTGCCCACCACCACACCCAGCTAATTTTTTTGTATTTTTAGTAGAGACGGGGTTTCACCATATTAGCCATGCTGGTCTCAAACTCCTGACATTGCGATCCACCTGCCTTGGCCTCCCAAAGTGCTGGGATTACAGGTGTGAGCCACCGTGCCCAGCCACTAATTTAATTTTTAAATTGAAAAGAGAAATGAGAGAATCATACACATCTCATCTTTCCCAATTCTGAATTTCCCTGGCTCCTATCATGAGCTTAGAGTGGGAACGTGGCAGGGACGTACAGGAGATGTCAAAGATCAGGACTGCAAGTATTGAGGTTGAGTGTGTGACAAGGGCACAAGGTTTGAGCAGCCAGTGTAAATATTTTCAGAGATTACATCCTTCATTGATCATAAGGGAAAGCAAATATCTCCTTTCCTCATGGGACAGAGAACTAGGCAGAACAGGACCGGGGAGCAACCAAACCTACCGAGGCAGTCTCACTTCTCAGTGACTGGACTGTGTGGTAATTTGGGGTCCCTATGTACGGGTGGAAATAAAACAGAAGTCGCTGGCGAGCTGTAAATGGGGGAGACCAAGTGGGAGCAATTGGGGTGCTTCCTAGGCCTTTACCTAAAAAGAACAGAAGCTTGAGGCCAGGCGCAGTAGCTCACACCTGGAAGCCTATCACTTTGGGAGGTGGAAGTGGGAGGATCACTTGAGCCCAAAGTTCAGGCCCAGGCTGGGCAAGATGGCAAAACCGCATCTCTACAAAAAAATTTAAAAATTAGCTAGGCATGGTGGCATGCAGCTGTAGTCTCAGCTACTTGGGAGGCTGAGGCGGGAGGATCCCTTGAGCCCAAGAGTTTAAGGCAGCAGTGATTTGTCATCCCACCACTGCACGCTTCTGTGTAACAGAGCAAGACCCGGTCTCTAAAAATAAAGTATAGAAGCTTGGAAGTAGGTGATGTATGAGGTGTCCCCGTAACTGAGTCTTGGGCTCACCATAGGGAAATAGTTTGTATGTTTCTGATTTCCTCCCTTAAGGGTACTCTGCTCCAGACATGCGTGGCCTCAGATTCATCTTGATACCAGTTGAACTGCTACTTTGCTACCTCCTGCTGCACCCTGTGGATGCCACTTCATATGGAAAGGAGACAAATGTCTTGATGCACCCTCCCTTGTCCTTGGAATCCCAGACACCTTCCTCAGACCCCTTGTCCTGCCAATTTCTGCAGCCAAAGTCACTGCCTGGTTTCAGCCACATGGCCCCTCTACCCAAGTTCTTGGTAAGCCTGGCTCTAAGGAATGCCCTGGAGGAAGCTGGTTGCCAGGCTGATGTTTGGGCTCTACAGCTTCAGCTCTACCGCCAGGGTGGTGTGAATGCGACACAGGTCCTCATCCAGTATCTTCAAGGGCTCCAGAAAGGCAGAAGTGCAGAGAGGAACGTGTCAGTGGACGCCCTGGCCTCTGCTCTGCAGCTGTTAGCCAGGGAGCAGCCAGGCACAGGAAGGGTCCGGCGCTACCTCCCGACAGAAGACTGTGAGAATGAGAAGGAGCAAGATGTGCACAATGTCGTCCAGCTGCTGCCAGGAGTAGGAACATTCTACAACCTGGGCACAGCCTTGTATTATGCTACTCAAAACTGCTTGGGCAAGGCCAAGGAACGAGGCCGAGATGGGGCCATAGATCTGGGATATGACCTTCTGATGACCATGGCTGGGATGTCAGGGGGGCCTATGGGTCTAGTGGTCAGTGCTGCACTTAAACCTGCATTAAAGGCTGGGGTTCAGCAGTTGATCCAGTATTATCAAGATCGTAATGAGGAAAACATCTCTCAGCCAGAGACCACTAAGGAGGGTTTGAGGGGCATCTCAGATGTGAGTGTCTTGGAAGAAACAACTACCCTGACTTCTTTCACGTCAAAAGTAGTAAGTTCAGCTCCCTACTGGGGACGGGTCATAATCAAGAGCTATGACTTAGATCCTGGGGCTGGGAGTCTTGGGATATAAAGAAGGTGGTAACCATAGAACTAATAAAACTAGTATCTTGACATGTCTTCAAAATCTTAATCTCTTATTTTTCCAGGAGGAAGGCAGTACAGTGAAAGGTAGAAACGTAAATGTTTGGGGGTTGAAGTCAGAGGGTTTGGTTTTGAATCAAGGCTCCACTTGATAGTGCCTGGTAATCACTGACAAGTAACTTCTTTCTTGAACTAAGATCAATTTTTAAATTTCTAAATGAGTGAGAATAATTTTAACCTCAATGAGTTGCCATGTAAATTTAAAATGATAAAAGAATCAAAAGAGATTATCACAGTACTCTCAATAAATAGCTATTAGCCAGGTGCGCTGGCTCACGTCTGTAATTCCAGCACTGAGAGACCGAGGCGGGAGGATCACTTGAACCCAGCAGTTCAAGACCAGCCTGGGCAACATGGCGAAACCACATCTCTACAATAAATAAAAAAAATTATCCTGGCGGAGTGATGCACGCTTGTAGTCCCAGCTACCTGGGAGGCTGAGCCGGGAGAATCACCTGAGCACGAAAGGTCGAGGCTGCAGTGAGCCAAGATCTTGCCACTGCACTCCAGACTGGGTGACAGAGCGAGACCACGTCTCAAAAAATTAAAAAATTATTTAAAAAAATATCGTCGGCCGGGCGTGGTGGCTCACGCCTGTAATCCAAGCATTTTAGTGGCCAAGGAGGGCGGATCACCTGAGGTCGGGAGTTCAAGACCAGCCTGACCAACATGGTGAAACCCCGTCTTTAAAAAAGAAAAAAAAAAAATTATAAAAAAAGAAAAAATATTGTTTTCATTACCTCAGCCCTCCTCTTCCTATCCCAAGACGTCGATATTCCGGTCCCACCCCTTCCCATGGGGCCCTTGGCGTCTCCAGGGTCCTCAAGCTAGTTTCGCTTCCGTGGCCCAGGCGCGGGTTCTCGAAAATCAGCTGTTTCAGTCTTGGGCGTCCACTAATTGGACTCCTTCCCTCGTAGGCAGTGCCTATTTGAGCTTCTCCACCAATCGCTGGAGCTGGAGGTGTGGTTTCAGCCCAGCTTGTCCCGCCCCACGGATGGGGCGGAGTTGCGGCGGCGCCAATGAGCTAGCAGTCTGGGAAGGACTTGACTGAGTGGCAGTGTCGGGGTGGTGGCTGGGAAAGGGGCAGCTCCGGACTTCAGGGCCACCTTACAAGGGGGCGGATCCGAGGGGGTTGGCCGAAGTTGTGGGCGGGGCGGGAGGCTCTAGTACCCGAGATTCCTCTAGGCACGGGAAGTCGCGACCAGAGCCACTGGAGGGCGCGGGAACTGCAACCCCTAATCAGGTACGGGCCCTGAGAGGGTGTGCTGGGGTAGGGGTGGAGGTGAGAGTGAGAATTCCTCCTAGGGAGGGGCGACTGGCCTCAGGGGTTACGTACACCCTGGAGGGGGCAGCCTCTGTCCCCAGATTGAAATAGGACCTGTCGCCGGCTCCGTCTTTGATCTTCTCCTGCCGAGCTTATCTCCCCAACCCTAATGCCCCTCTCCCCAAAGTCCCCTGAAGCTTCCGAGACCCGGAATCTGGCATTGTTATGTTGATTCGGTATTTGAACCAAAGTTTTTGCCTCTGCTCTGCATTATTTTTTATCTTCACCAAAAAAAAAAAAAACGATGTCCAAAGATAAATCTAAAACACAAAAACAAAACAAAACCGAAAAAACAAAGATGATAGATAAATCTATCATCTTTGTTTTGTAAAAAAAGTATAAGCTCCTGAAAGATGAAACGATTGCCTAAGGTCACACACAAAATCCAGTTCATTTCAGAAAAGCTTCTTGAGTGCAAAATATGTGCCTAAGAGTGAGAGATAAAAAGAAAAAATTGTCTCAACCCTTAACCTCAGTGTTCGCAACCCATTTGGGGAGACTAGGTTTTTTGTTTTGTTTTCAGATTTGAATCTTTGCTCCCTTGCGCCTTTCATATTAAACACTTAAATCCTCAGGAATTGAGGCCTCATCATTAATAAAAATTTTTTTTAAGAGATGGAATCTCACTATGTTGCCGAGGCTGGTCCCAAACTCCTGAGCTCAAGCCATCCTCCTGTCTTGTAGCCCTCCCAAAGTGCTGGCATTACAGGCATGAGCCACCATGCATGGCCACCTAATCATTTTTTAACTTATATTTTTTTGTATCATAACAGCAATACAGTTACATAGTTTTAAAAATCAAGCACTACTAAAAGGGTTAAAATGAAAATAGCCCCTACACAATCTCTCCTTTCCCTTGTTTCTACTTCCAGAGGTAGAAAGGCAGCTGATGTTATTTATGTTAGTAGAGGACTGTCCTACCCCAAGCATTTCTCTTTACTTTGTAATAAAATCATGTGACCTTTTTAGACCACAAACATGCATAAATTCTGTTCTGTTAGGCTCAGGCTGCAAGAAGCATAAGTTTCAGTTTCCTAAATAGACACCAGATGTCAATGAGCAGGGAAAGGTGGGGAGAAAGATGCATAACACAGCCTGCTTGGTGACAGGCAAACCTGTCAGGTGAAAAGCAAGAAAAAAAAAACTTTTTTTTTTTTTTCTGAGACAAAATCTTGCTCTGTTGCCCAGGCTGGAGTACAGTGCATGATCTCCACTTACTGCAACCTCTGTCTCCTGGGTTCAAGCAATTCTCCTGCCTCAGCCTCTTGAGTAGCTGGGATTAGGTGCCGACCACCAGGCCTTGCTAATTATTTTGTATTTTTCGTAGAGACGGGGTTTCACCATGTTGGCATGTTGGCCAGGCTGGTCTTCAACTTCTGACCTCAAGTGATCCTCCCACCTAGGCCTGTCAAAGTGATGAGATTACAGGCGTGAGCCACTGAGCCTGGCCAAAAACCACAAATTTACATGAAGTATCAGGATCTCACAAAGTTGATAACCTATAATCATATTCAAGATTCACAGGTCATAAAAGTGTCATATTCTTAGGGATTGAGCAACCCATTGCACAGCATTTAGATTTAGTTTTCTAGAATGGAGCTCTGCCTTCCTATATAGAGGGTAGTCTATAGGGTATACTTACCTGACCTCCAAAAAGATTTACCTCCTAAAAAAGCTTCAAGTGGCTGCGCATGATGGCTCACGCCTGTAATCCCAGCACGTTGGGAGGCCGAGGCAGGCAGATCACCTGAGGTCAGAAGTTCAAGACTAGCCTGCACAACATGGTGAAACCCCATCTCTACCAAAAATACAAAAGTTAGCTGGGCATGGTGGCAGGCGCCTGTAATCCCAGCTACTCAGAAGGCTGAGGCAGAAGAATTGCTTGAACCCAGGAGGCGGAGTTTGCATAGAGCCAAGATCATGACACTACTCTAGCCTGGGTGACAAAGGAAGACTCTGTCTCAGACAAAAAAAAAAAAAGCTTCAGGGCCAGCAGAGATCATGCCGTAAAAAATACTTAATATCAACACTGATCTTTAAATGCTTTAGCATAAGCAAATATAAACAACAAACACATAAATGTAAAATAAATGAATTAGTCAGATAGATGAAATAAGATAGTGGAAATAGTAATGTTTGTTAAAGTTGAATGGTGATCCTTGTGCTATTCACTCTACTTTAGAGTGTTTTTGAAAATCAGGCCAGTCCAGGCGCGGTGGCTCAAGCCTGTAATCCCAGCACTTTGGGAGGCCGAGGTGGGTGGATCACGAGGTCAAGAGATCAAGACCATTATGGTCAATATGGTAAAACCCCATCTCTACTAAAAATTAAAAAAAAAAAAAAAAAAATTAGCTGGGCATGGTGGCTCATGCCTGTAATCCTAGCTACTCAGGAGGTGGAGGCAGGAGAATTGCCTGAACCCAGGAAGCAGAGGTTGCGGTGAGCCAAGATCGTGCCATTGCATTCCAGCCTGGGTAACAAGAGCGAAACTCCGTCTCAAAAAAAAGAAAAAGAAAATCAGGCCAGGTGTGGTGACTCACACCTGTAATCCCAGCACTTTGGGTGGCCGAGGCGGGTAGATCATGAGGTCAGGAGTTCGAGACCAGCCTGCCCAATACGGTGAAACCCATCTCTACTAAAAATAAAAAAAATTAGCTGGCCATGGTGGTGTGCACCTGTAGTCCCAGCTACTCGGGAGGCTGAGGCAGAAGAATCGCTTGAACCCAGGAGGTGGAGGTTGCAGTGAGCTGAGATTGTGCCAATGCACTCCAGCCTGGGCGACAGAGCAAGACTCCATCTCACCAAAAAAAAATGAAAAAGAAAAAGAAAATTACCATTAGACTGGTTATAGTGGCTCATGTCTGGAATCACAGCATTTTGTTTTTTGTTTTTGTTTTTTTGAGACAGATTATTGCTGTCACTCAGGCTGGAGTGCAGTGGCGCTATCTTGGCTCACTGCAACCTCTGCCTCCCAGGTTCGAGTGATTCTCCTGCCTTAGCCTCCCAAGTGGCTGGGACTACAGGCACACACCACCATGCCCACCTAATATTTTTGTATTTTTAGTAGAGATGGGGTTTCACCATGTTAGCCAGGATGGTCTTGATCTCCTGACCTCCTGATCTGACCACCTCAGGCCTCCCAAAGTGCTGGGATTACAGGCGTGAACCACCACACCGGCCCATCTCAGCATTTTGGAAGGCTGAGGCGGATGGATTGCTTGAGCTCAGGAGTTTGAGATCCACCTGGGCGACATGGAAAAATCCCATCTCTCCAAAAAATGCAAAAATTAGCTAGGCATGATGGCACACTCCTGTAGTCCCAGCTCCTTGAGGGGCTGAGACAGAGAATCACTTGAACCTGGGAGGTCAAAGCTGCAGTGAGCCAAGATTATGCCACTGCATTCCAGCCTGAATGACAAAGTGAGACCCTGTCTCAAAAAAAAGAAAGAAAGAAAAGAAAATTCCCATTAAAACACAAAGGCCCACTTATTGGAGCTATTAAAATACAGGTTGGGGCCACAGTGGCTTACACCTGTAATCCCAGCACTTTGGGAGTCCGAGGTTGGTGGATCACCTGAGGTCAGGAGTTTGAGACCAGCCTGACCAACATGGGTAAAACCCCATCTCTGCTAAAGAAAAAAAACTACAAAAATTAGCCAGGTGTGGTGGTGGGTGCCTGTAATCCCAGCTACTCAAGAGTCTGAGGTAGGAGAATCGCTTGAACCTAGAGGATGGAGGTTGCAGTGAGCCAAGATCATCTCACTTCACTCCAGCCTGGGCGAAAGAGCCAGACTCAAAAAAAAATAAAAAATAAAAAATAAAAATAAAAAAACCCTCCAGAATGCTCTAATGAGCATTTCCTTTGAGCATCATGTGGGTACTCAAAAGTTGAATTTTGCAGCATTTCAGATTTCAGAGCTTTGGATTAGGGATGCTCAGTTGGTAAGTATCGTAGATATTCCAGAATCTGGACAAATCTGAAATCCAAAATGCTTGGAATAGCAGATGTTCAACCAGTAGCATTCCCTGGAAGAATATGCACCAAACTGATAGTAGTGGTTACTTCTGGAGAGGAGGTGAAAGAACCAAGATCAGGAGTAGGGTCAACATAGACTTTCATGTTTTCTGTACTTTTATTACTTGTATAATTTAAACATTTTAAATTAGTAACAATGAACAGTCATGAAACTATGGATGATTTAGTCCAGCAAAATATCCAACTGGGAACCCTCAACTTCTGATGCAGAGCCCAAATGGCACAGTGGGAGATGCTGCAGAATCTTGACAGCCCCTTTCAGGACCAGCTGCACCAGCTTTACTCACACAGCCTCCTGCCTGTGGACATTCGACAGTACTTGGCTGTCTGGATTGAAGACCAGAATTGGTGAGGCCTTCAGGAAGTTGGGGGGAGGAGAAAGGTGGTTTCTTACTTCTGAGCCCCCAGGATCCTGGAATCATTAATGGTAGGAAAAGGTTGGAAAGCCTCAGGACTGCAGCAACCCTGCAGACACTAATCCTTTTTATTCCTGGTGCCCAGGCAGGAAGCTGTACTGGGGAATGATGAGTCCAAGGCTACCATGCTATTCTTCCACTTCTTGGATCAGCTGAACTATGAGTGTGGCCGCTGCAGCCAGGACCCAGAGTCCTTGTTGCTACAGCACAATTTACGGAAATTCTGCCGGGACATTCAGGTACTTGGAAGGGTTGGGAGTAATGGGGTAGCACTGGGAGCTGAGTATAGAGGAGTAAGGTTTGGAGAACGGAATAGTGCCTGGAGGTACAAAGGCAGATGGGGATAGATCTAGGGAAAGCAGGACAGAGTCTGGTCTTAGGGAATCACTGGCAGAGAGAAGGGCTGCATCTACAGGATACTGTTGGGAGGGTGCCATGGTGAAAAGAGAAAGGGCTAGAGACCCCAGAGGAGGAAATACTGTGGACATTGGTGGGGAAGGTCTAGGGTGATAGATGTCATTGAGGGTTATTGAATTGGATCAATCCTTTCTGTTTTACTATTCTAGGCCTTTTCCCAGGGCCCTACCCAGCTGGCTGAGATGATCTTTAACCTCCTTCTGGAAGAAAAAAGAATTCTGAACCAGGCTCAGAGGGCTCAACTGGTGAGGACAATTCAGTGGTAATGTTGGAAGCTCCTGAAGTGGAGAGGAACCATGGAAAGGACCCAGGGAGTTGTCTCAGAACAGGATCCTCCCACATCCTGTGGTATAAATTTCAGGCCTGAATTTAAGGCATGAAAAGCCAGAGTTAAAATGTGCTCAGAGCCTCTTTTTTCCAGGAGCAAGGACAACCAGTTCTTGAAACACCTGTGGAGAGCCAGCAACATGCGATTGAATCCCGGATCCTGGATTTAAAGGCTATGATGGAGGTTAGTGGATGTGGTAGGAATTAGGGTGGGCAGGGCTCAGCCTAGCCCCTCCCTAAGAAGCAGCCTCATCGGGGTCCTCTCCTCTTTGTAGAAGCTGGTAAAATCCATCAGCCAACTGAAAGACCAACAGGATGTCTTCTGCTTCCGATATAAGATCCAGGCCAAAGGTAGGAAGCACATTGAGGGGCGGGAGAAAAATAAGTGCCTGCTGAGAAGTCAGAGCTCAAAGTGAACAGGAGAAAGCTCCAATGAGCAGTAGTCACTGTCAGACACACGCACTGACGGCAGTCCCCCTGCCATGCAAACCTGGAAGTGCCAGGGTGTTTGGTGGAGGTCCAGCTGGAGGTGTGACTGAGAGACATTGAATGTTGAGGAAATGCATGGAAAACTGACAGTGTTTTATTTGAGGAGGTGTCTGGTCTAAGCACGACCATTCAGAATTTGCCTGAGGGTCCCACAGGTACCTACCTGTGCTTTGCTTGGTTTCCATGCCATCCTCCACAAAATTCCTCCTTCCTGACTCTGACTCACCCCAGTCAGGAAGGAGAGGAAAGAACTCCTGAATTGACTCCTGTTCCCGCCATCCAGGGAAGACATCCTCTCTGGGCCCCCATCAGATCAAAGAGCAGAAGATTCTGCAGGAAACTCTCAATGAACTGGACAAAAAGAGAAAGGTGGGAGGCAGAGGACAGTGTGTGTGGGCAACAGGGACCTGGAAAAATGAGGGACGTGGGACCCTGGTTCCCTAGCACTGGCTTCTTTGTCTTTTCATCCCCAGTTGGGTGGTGAAGGGTGATGAGGAGAGATGCTCAACATTCACATTATCTCTTTCCTAGGAGGTGCTGGATGCCTCCAAAGCACTGCTAGGCCGATTAACTACCCTAATCGAGCTACTGCTGCCAAAGTTGGAGGAGTGGAAAGCCCAGCAGCAAAAAGCCTGCATTGGAGCTCCTGTTGACCATGGATTGGCACAGCTGGAGAAATGGTGAGGAACCACCCCAACCATCGTCCTTGCCACCCGCTGTGATTTGTAAGTTGCAGTGCCCTGCATATGGCAAGAGATACTGTTCTCATTGGTCTCTGCTCCCCAGAATGAGCCCTGCTCCCTGCTAACTAGCAGCTCTATTTTGCTTCTCATCCTTACCACCCAGGGAGGCCAGAGCCCAGTCTACTTCAGGGAAAGGAATGAATTAACCCACAATCTGGTTTTTTTCCTTCCTTTTTGATCACCCAGAAATACATTTGCCAGGCGCGGTGGCTCATGCCTGCAATCCCAGGACTTTGGGAGGCCGAGGCAGGCAGATCGCCTAAGGTCAGGAGTTCAAGACCAGCCTGGCCTACATGGTGAATCCCCATCTCCATTAAAAATACAAAAAAATTAGCCAGGTATGGTGGCAGGCACCTGTAATCCCACTTAGGAGGCTGAGGCAGGAGAATCTCTTGAACCCTGGAGGTAGAGGTTGCAGTGAGCTGAGATCACAACATTGCACTTCAGCCTGGGCAACAGAGCAAGACTCCATCTCAAAAAAAAAAAAAAGGCCAAGCACGGTGGCTCACACCTGTAATTCCAGCACTTTGGAAGGTTGAGGTGGGCGGATCACAAGGTCAGGAGTTCAAGGTCAGCATGGCCAGCATGGTGAAACCCCACCTCTGCTAAAAATACAAAAAAATTACCCGGGCATGGTGATGCATACCTATGGTCCCAGCTACTAGGGAGGCTGGGGCAGGAGAATTGCTTGAACCCAGGAGGCGGAGGTTGCAGTGAGCCAAGATTGCACCACTACACTCCAGCCTGGGCTACAGAGCGAGACTCCATCTCAAAAAAATATGTATTTTTTAAAAAATATATTTTATTGCAATAAATATAATTTAAAAACGAAGGAAGGAGGAAGAGAAAATTATCTTATTAAACAAAAATGGAATCATATTGTTTATACTATTTTGAAACCTATGGTTTTTTTTTCGGCTTAACAGTATATTATATATTTATATATACATATAAAACAGTATAAATATGTCATATATATACTATTAGGCTTAAAATATATATATATAATATATAACCAGCCTGGCCAATGTGGTGAAACCTCATCTCTACTAAAAACACAGAAATTTGCTGGGTGTGGTGGTGCATGCCTGTATTCTGAGCTACTTGGGAGGCTAAGACAGAAGAATCAGTTCAACCAAAGAGGCGGAGGTTGCAGTGAGCCGAGATCGCGTCATTGCACTCCAGCCTGAGCTACCCAGTGAGACTCCGTCGCAAAAAAAAAAAAAAAAAAAAGCCAGGTGGGGTGCCTGACACCTATATTCCTAGCACTTTGGGAGGCAAAGGCAGGTAGATCGACTGAGCTCAGGAGTTCAAGACCACCCAGGGCAACATGGTGAAACCCCACCTCTACTAAAAATACAAAAAAATTGACAGTGTGTAACGGTGCATTCCTGTGGTCCCAGCTACTTGGGAGGCTGAGGCAAGAAAGTCGCTTGAGCCCCAGAAGTAAATGGAGACTGCACCATTACATTCCAGCTTAGGCCACAGAGTAAGAGTCCATCTCAAAAAAAAAAAAAAAAAAAAAAGCCGGGCGCGGCAGATCACAAGGTCAGGAGATTGAGACCATCCTGGCTAACACGGTGAAACCCTTTGGAGGTAAAGGGTTTTGACTCTTTCTCTTTTATTTTATTTTACTTTTATTTTATTTTTTGGGACCAGAGTTGACTTTTAATTTGTCCTAAAGCTGCTGAAGCAAAAACCATGATAAAACATTTTGCTTTCTTTTTACAACCCCCTCTTTCTCAAAAAAATAAACAAATAAATAAATGCTGGCTGGTCCTGTACTGTAAGTATTATATACCTGTTTTTCAATCAACGCGAGCAATTGTGGTATATTTTTATTTACTTTTTTTTTTTTTTTTTTTTTTTTTTTTTTTTTTTTTGAGACGGAGTTTCGCTCTTGTTACCCAGGCTGGAGTGCAATGGCACGATCTCGGCTCACTGCAACCTCCACCTCCTGAGTAGCTGGGATTACAAGCACGCGCCACCATGCCCAGCTAATTTTTTGTATTTTTAGTAGAGACAGAGTTTCACCATGTTGACCAGGATGGTCTCGATCTCTTGACCTCATGATCCACCTGCCTTGGCCTCCCAAAGTGCTGGGATTACAGGCTTGAGCCACCGCACCCAGCCTGTTTTTTTTTTTTTTTTTTTTTTTGAGACAGAGTTTCGCTCTTGTTACCCAGGCTGGAGTGCAATGGCGCGATCTCGGCTCACCGCAACCTCCGCCTCCTGGGCTCAGGCAATTCTCCTGCCTCAGCCTCCTGAGTAGCTGGGATTACAGACACGCGCCACCATGCCCAGCTAATTTTTTTTGTATTTTTAGTAGAGACGGGGTTTCACCATGTTGACCAGGATGGTCTCGATCTCTTGACCTCGTGATCCACCCGCCTCGGCCTCCCAAAGTGCTGGGATTACAGGCTTGAGCCACCGCGCCCGGCCTTTTTTTTTTTTTTTAAGACAGAATTGCTGGGCGTGGTGGCTCAAGCCTGTAATCCCAGCACTTTGGGAGGCGGAGGCGGGTGGATCACAAGGTCAAGAGATCGAGACCATCCTGGTCAACATGGTGAAACCCTGTCTCTACTAAAAAAAAATACAAAAAACTAGCTGGGCGTGGTGTCGCGTGCCTGTAATCGCAGCTACTCAACAGGCCGAGGCAGGAGAATTGCCTAAACCCAGGAGGCGGAGGTTGCGGTGAGCCGAGATCGTGCCATTGCACTCCAGCCTGGGTAACAAGAGCGAAACTCCGTCTCAAAAAAAAAAAAAAAAAAAAGACGGAATTTCGCTCTTCTTACCCAGGCTGGAGTGCAATAGCGTGATCTCGGCTCACCGCAACCTCCGCCTCCTGGGTTTAGGCAATTCTCCTGCCTCGGCCTGCTGAGTAGCTGGGATTACTGGCATGTGCCACCATGCCCGGCTAATTTTTTGTATTTTTAGTAGACACGGGGTTTCACCATGTTGATCAGGATGGTCTCGATCTCTCGACCTCGTGATCCACCCGCCTCAGCCTCCCAAAGTGCTGGGACTACAGGCTTGAGCCACCATGCCTGGTCTAATTTTTGTATTTTTAATAGAGATGCAGTTTCACCATATTGGCCAGGCTGGTCTCAAACTCCTGACCTCAGGTGATCCACCCACCTTGGCCTCCCAAAGTGCTGGGATTACAGGCATGAGCCACCGCACCCAGCTGCTGATTATTATTATTTTTAATTATAGAGACAGTAAAGTACAGCAGTTGGAAGTATGGGTTGTACAATGAGACTGCCTGAGATCACATACAAGCTTCATCCCTTACTAGTTTTATGACCTTGAGCAAATCACTTAACCTTTCTTTGCCTCAGTTTTATCATCTGTAACATGGGGATAATAATAGTACCTGCCTCAGAGGGTTGTTTTGAGGATTAAATGCATTAATATGTGTAAAGGGCTTAATATAAATTGTACATAGCATACGAAAGCTCTTATTATGGGGTCGGGCATGGTGGCTCACGCCTGTAATCCCAGAACTTTGGGCGGCTGAGGTGGGTGGATCACCTGAGGTCAGCAGTTCAAGACCAGCTTGACCAACATGGTGAAACCCTGTCTCTACTAAAAATACAAAAATTAGCCAGCCATGGTGGCAGGCACCTGTAATCCCAGCTACTCAGGAGGCTGAGGCAGGAGAATTGCTTGAACACGGGAGGCAGAGGTTGCAGTGAGCTGAAATCGTGCCACTGCACTCCAGCCTGGATGATAGAGGGAGACTCTGTTTCAAAAAAAAAGCTGCTATGTTAAATCTGTTAGCAGTTTTGTTTTTTTTTTTTTTTTTTTTTTTTTTTTTTTTTGAGACAGAGTTTCACTCTTGTTACCCAGGCTGGAGTGCAATGGCGCGATCTCGGCTCACTGCAACCTCCGCCTCCTGGGTTCAGGCAATTCTCCTGCCTCAGCCTCCTGAGTAGCTGGGATTACAGGCACACGCCACCATGCCCAGCTAATTTTTTGTATTTTTAGTAGAGACGGGGTTTCACCATGTTGACCAGGATGGTCTCGATCTCTTGACCTCGTGATCCACCCGCCTCGGCCTCCCAAAGTGCTGGGATTACAGGCTTGAGCCACCGCGCCCGGCCAAATCTGTTAGCAGTTTTGTATGTGAAAATAGCTTTGATTTTTATTTCTTGGATTATGAATCATTTTGAATAATCTTTTATATGCTTCCTAGATTCTTTTTTTTTTTTTTTTCACCCCAGTTAATTTCTGACTCTTCATATATTTATGAAGAGTTCTTGGAACCTGGGTGGGGGAATTCAGGAAATTCATGGATTCCTTCTTCCTGAAATCTGTCACCAGGTTCACAGCTGGAGCAAAGCTCTTGTTTCACCTGAGGCAGCTGCTGAAGGAGCTGAAGGGACTGAGTTGCCTGGTTAGCTATCAGGATGACCCTCTGACCGAAGGTGTGGACCTACGCAACGCCCAGGTCACAGAGTTGCTGCAGCGTCTGCTCCACAGGTCTAGAAGCCAGGCAGGAACCCTGGGGGAAGAAAGGAACAAGATAAGCCATTCTTACAGATACTGAGCTGTATGTTCTCTCCACATCTCTCTCCTCAGAGCCTTTGTGGTAGAAACCCAGCCCTGCATGCCCCAAACTCCCCATCGACCCCTCATCCTCAAGACTGGGAGCAAGTTCACTGTCCGAACAAGGTCGGCATTCCAGAACTCATTCCTGCTTCCTTATTCCAACCCTGCCACTGTGTATTTTCTGGCTTTACAAATCTTCCCGTTCTTGGCTTTTTCTTCTCTCTTTCCCCTCCCCTCCCTACCTCTTATAATCCCTCTTGTCTTTGTCTTTTTTTTTTTTTTTTTTTTCTTTGATATGGAGTCTCGCTCTGTTGCCCAGGCTGGAGTGCAATGGCATGCTCTCAGCTCGCTGCAATCTCCACCTCCTGGGTTCAAGTGATTCTCCTGCCTCAGCCTCTCAAGTAGCTGAGATTACAGTTGTGTGCTACCATGCCTGGCTAATTTTTTTTGTATTTTTAAGTAAAGATGGGGTTTCACCATGTTGGTCAGGCTGGTCTTAAACCCCTGACCTCGTGATCCATCCACCTCAGCCTCCCAAAGTGCTGGGATTACAGGCATGAGCCACTGCGCCTGGCTTCCCTCTTCTCTTTTTCAAACATCTGGCCTATCCGGAAGGTTGAGGTTGACCACTTTCCCCATCCTCCTTCCATTCCCCCAGGCTGCTGGTGAGACTCCAGGAAGGCAATGAGTCACTGACTGTGGAAGTTTCCATTGACAGGTAAATTGGAGGAGGTGAAGGGTGGCCAGGCCATGGGCTGCTGGGGTGGAGGAGACACCCTTCACAACAGGGCCCTAGGGCTATCTTCTTCCCCCTTCAATTCCTACCTTCTCATAGAAATTATATAATTCATTTCTTTTGTTGAACACTCACTATGTGACATGCAACATGGCAGGTACTTATTTAATTATCACAGAAACCCTATGAATTAACTATTACCAATGCACCATACAAACAAGGATACAGGCTCAGGGAGACTGATTACATCTCTTATGCAAGGCCACCTAGCTTGTGAGCTCAAGTCAGGTTTGAATCCAGGCCTATCTGATCCCAAAGACCAAACTGCTAACTTCCATTCTCTTTTGCCTAATGATTTTTTTTCTTTTTATTTCTTTCCAGAAATCCTCAATTACAAGGGTAGGTGCTTGACAAGGACACTGCAAGCATCTGTACACTGCATGACCTGCAGAACCATATTCAGCAACCCTGGTGGGAGCGCAAACAAGGAGGAGGGGGATTTGGCTGGGATGTAGACAAAGGGAGAAGGCAAGATCTGAAATGAAGTGGAATTTCTGTTTTTTTTCTGCTGAGCTTTTAGAATAATTCTGTTCCTTGTCTCCATGTATCATCCTCCTCCTGGAACAGCTTCCGGAAGTTCAACATTCTGACTTCAAACCAGAAAACTTTGACCCCCGAGAAGGGGCAGAGTCAGGGTTTGATTTGGGACTTTGGTTATCTGGTAAGAATAGTTTGTGACCTATACTTTTTATTATTTTTATTATTTATTTATTTATTTATTTATTTATTTTTTGAGACGGAGTTTCGCTCCTGTTACCCAGGCTGGAGTGCAATGGCGCGATCTTGGCTCACCGCAACCTCCGCCTCCTGAGTTCAGGCAATTCTCCTGCCTCAGCCTCCCGAGTAGCTTGGATTACAGGCACGCGCCACCATGCCCAGCTAATTTTTTGTATTTTTAGTAGAGACGGGGTTTCACCATGTTGACCAGTATGGTCTCGATCTCTTGACCTCGTGATCCACCCGCCTCGGCCTCCCAAAGTGCTGGGATTACAGGCGTGAGCCACCGCGCCCGGCTATTTTTATTTTTTTGAGATAGAGTCTCACTGTGTCGCCCAGGCTGGAGTGCAGTGGCGCGATCTCAGCTCACTGCAACTCCGCCTCCCAGCTTCAAGCAATTCTCCTGCCTCAGCCTCCCGAGTAGCTGGGACTACAGGCACACGCCACCATGCCTGGCTAATTTTTGTATTTTCAGTAGAGACAGGGTTTCACCATATTGGTCAGGCCGGTCTTGAACTCCTGACCTCAGGTGATCCACCCATCTTGGCCTCCCAAAGTGCTGGGATTACAGGCATGAGCCACTGCACCTGGCCTGCTTTTAGTCCAAAGGAACATGGGCTGGGGGAAGTTCCAAGGGCTTGAGAGGTCTTGAAGCCAAACAGGGGATTCCAGGGACCCTAGGGTGCCCACTCTGGCATTTTCTCTCCTTCTCTTTAATTCACAGACTCTGGTGGAGCAACGTTCAGGTGGTTCAGGAAAGGGCAGCACTAAGGTGAGACCTGGACAGAGGACTAGGGGACAAGGGAGAGTTTCCCATCAAAGGGCCTTCTGATGACTGTCTCTTTGGCTGTTCCAGGGGCCACTAAGTGTGACAGAGGAACTGCACATCATCAGCTTCACAGTCCAATACACCTACCAGGGTCTGAAACAGGAGCTGAAAGTGAGTTAAAATGGAGGACAAAGAGAGGGAAGGCAGATTTGGAAGAAGGCATAAGGAGGGGATAAGCAGAAGCCTCTTGGGGTGGGTTAGCACTCTTTTCCTCTAACAAATACCTGCAGCTAGAAACCTCACATCCCTTTCTGTGACTCCTGTCTACTCCCCAGACGGACACCCTCCCTGTGGTGATTATTTCCAACATGAACCAACTCTCAATTGCCTGGGCTTCAGTTCTCTGGTTCAATTTGCTCAGCCCAAACCTTGAGGTAGGGAGTGGGGCCAACAGGTCAAGGGAGAGGAGGGGTGTGGAAGCTTGGTGTGAGGGGCTGATTCTGAGCCAGGCTGCACTCCTCTCACCCCTGCAGAACCAGCAGTTCTTCTCCAGCCCCCCCAAGGCCCCCTGGAGCCTGCTGGGCCCTGCTCTCAGTTGGCAGTTCTCCTCGTATGTTGGCCGAGGCCTCAACTCAGACCAGCTGAGCATGCTGAAAAACAAGCTGTTTGGTACAGATTTCCTTCCCTCAGCCTTTCCCCAGCCTTCGTCTTTCCTGTCCCTCTGTCCAGGACCCCTTGCTTCCCTCATCGTCTGTCTGTGGCTCTCTGTCCCGCAGGGCAGAACTGCAAGACGGAGGATGCATTGCTGTCCTGGGCTGACTTCACTAAGGTAACTCCCTGCATCCTGTGGAGATAGATCTAGCCCACAGTCCAAATACTGGCCTTCCCACATCCTCCTTTCTCTACACCAGGGGCAGCTCCTTAGCTCTTGCTACCTTTCCGTTCCTCCTCTAGCGAGAGAGTCCTCCAGGCAAGCTACCATTCTGGACATGGCTGGACAAAATTCTGGAGTTGGTACATGACCACCTGAAGGATCTCTGGAATGATGGGTAAGGCCTTGGTCAACCTTCCCAATGGGCCTGTGCTTTCTGTTGAGAGTGGACTCTGTGTGCCCTCATGTGGCAAGCAGGGAGAAGAGCAAAGACAGGCGCAAGGCCATGTATTCTCACATTTGTAACAGTAATAGCCATAGCCGATGTAAGTGAAGCATCTCCTGCGCCCCAGAGCCTGCTGGGTGCTCTTCGTGAATTCTTTTTTTTTCTTTTTATGAGACGGAGTTTCGCGATCTCGGCTCACCGCAACCTCCGCCTCCTGGGTTCAGGTAATTCTCCTGCCTCAGCCTCCTGAGTAGCTGGGATTACAGGCACGCGCCACCATGCCCAGCTAGTTTTTTGTACTTTTAGTAGAGATAGGGTTTCACCATGTTGACCAGGATGATCTCGATCTCTTGACCTCATGGTCCACCCGCCTCGGCCTCCCAAAGTGCTGGGATTACAGGCGTGAGCCACCGCGCTCGGCCTGTGAATTCTCTTATGTAATCCTTATGACCACTTTGAATGGTGGGTTTTGTCACCTTCATTTCAAGTGACGAAACTAATTTCAGAGATGTTAAAGAACTTACCCAAGGGACAGAGTTGGTATTCAAACCCAGGCCTATGTGACTCTAAGCCTATGTTTTTTTCACCACACTGCCTACCAATTTGTGTAGGATTTGACCTTTAAAAGTGCTATTCAGCCGGGCGCGGTGGCTCAAGCCTGTAATCCCAGCACTTTGGGAGGCCGAGGGGGGTGGATCACGAGGTCGAGAGATCGAGACCATCCTGGTCAACATGGTGAAACCCTGTCTCTACTAAAAGTGCAAAAAATTAGCTGGGCGTGGTGGCGCGTGCCTGTAATCCCAGCTACTCAGGAGGCTGAGGCAGGAGAATTGCCTGAACCCAGGAGGCAGAGGTTGCGGTGAGCCGAGATCGCGCCATTGCACTCCAGCCTGGGTAACAAGGGCGAAACTCCGTCTCAAAAAAAAATAAAAAATAAAAAAAATAAAAATAAAAATAAAAGTGCTATTCATGGCCGGGCACAGTGGCTAACGCCTGTAATCCCAGCACTTTGGGAGGCCGAGGCAGGCAGATCACCTGAGGTCAGCAGTTCGAGACCAGGCTGGACAACATAGCAAAACCTTGTCTCTACTAAAAATACAGAAATTAGCTGGGCATGGTGGCGGGTGCCTGTAATCTAGCTACTCAGAAGGCTGAGGCAGAAGAATCACTTGAAACTGGGAGGCAGAGGTTGCAGTGAGCCAAGCTGGTGCCACTGCACTCCAGCCTGGGAGACAAGAGTGAAACTCTGCCTCAAAAAAATATAAGCTATTCATGACTGGGCACAGTGGCTCATGCCTATAATCCTAGTACTTTGGGAGGCTGAGGCAGACAGATCACTTGAGCCCAGGAGTTCAAGACCAGCCTGGGCCGAATGGTGAAACCCCATCTCTACAAAAAATACAAAGGTTAATCAGGCATGGTGGTGTACACCTGTGGTCCTAGCTACTCTGGAAGCTGAGAGGTGGGAGGATTGCTTGAGCCTGGGAGGTCGAGGCGGCAGTGAGCTGTGATCATGCCACTGCACTCCAGCCTGGACAACAGAGTGACACTCTGTTTCCAGAAAAAAAAGTGCTGTTCATCTGTGTGATCTCACTGAATCCTCATACCTCTTCAAACCCTGGGAAGGTGGCTATTGTCAGCAAAGTGAAGTGACTTGTAAAAGATAACAAGCTAAGTGGCAGGGCTTGGTCCAAAACCTGGGTTTCAAAACCAGGGCTGTTTCTCCATACACGGGGAGCAGGGAGGCAGGGGTCTGGCGGGGCGGAGGGAATTGGGGGTTCACAGCTGCTCTCTGTGCTCCAGACTGATCATGGGCTTTGTGAGTCGGAGCCAGGAGCGCCGGCTGCTGAAGAAGACCATCTCTGGCACCTTTCTACTGCGCTTCAGTGAATCGTCAGAAGGGGGCATTACCTGCTCCTGGGTGGAGCACCAAGACGATGGTCAGCTGCTCTGCCCTGCCATTCCCTTCCCACAGCCTCTCCTTTCTGCCTGGCTCCCCTTTTGCCCCTCTGCCTGCCCTTGGCTTCCCTGCCTCTGTCCTGAATCCCTCAGCCAGCTTGGGGCTGGAGAGCCAGAGCAGGGAGCTCCCAGGCCCAACCTGTTCCCTCAAGCCTGCCTGTTCCTGCATTCACTCTCCAGACAAGGTGCTCATCTACTCTGTGCAACCCTACACCAAGGAGGTGCTGCAGTCACTCCCGCTGACTGAAATCATCCGCCATTACCAGTTGCTCACGGAAGAAAACATACCTGAGAACCCACTGCGCTTCCTCTATCCCCGAATCCCCCGGGACGAAGCTTTTGGGTGCTACTACCAGGAGAAAGGTAGGAATCGTTGACATACTTCATTGCTAGATTGCAGAGATCCTCTAACATCCATAGACCCAACTCCTTCCTCTCAAACATGGGCAACTGATATCCAGAGGAGTTAAGGGATTTGTCCGTGGGACACTGCTGTTACCATGGAGATGAGACTGCCAGGATCGTCCGCACTAGGGGAACCTCAGGCTGTGTGTCCAGCCCACTGATCTTCCCGGCTTCTTGTGTATGTTCCTTACAGTTAATCTCCAGGAACGGAGAAAATACCTGAAACACAGGCTCATTGTGGTCTCTAATAGGTGAGCTATGAACTCTTCACCCATCCTCCCTAATCCTTTCTGGCTGATCAAGTGGCTCTAACATGGCCTATTGCAGTCTCCCCAGCCTTCCCTCCCTCCTAGGATTCCCTCCCTCCGAGCTTTCCCTCCCTCCCAGCCTTCCATGCCTCCTAGCGCACTCTAGTTTGTTCCTATTCTAGTCTCTCTCCTATCTCATATTTTTCTGCTGCCATTCTTTGGTTGTCTCCACAGGAGTTTCTGGATAATAATGATCATAATCACTGGTGTTAATAGGCACCTACTTGATGCCAAGCATGGAGCTTTTTGTTGTTGTTGTTCCAGACAGGGTCTCACTCTATCGCCCAGGCTGGAGTGCAGTGGCACAATCATGGCTCACTGTAGCCCCAACCTCCTGAGCTCAAGCAGTACAGGCATGCATCACCACACTCAGCTATATATATATTTTTTTTATTTTTTGTAGAGATGGGGTCTCACCATGTTGCCCAGGCTGGTCTTGAACTCCTGGACTCAAGGGATCCGCCCACCTCGGCCTCCCAAAGTGCTGGGATTACAAGTGTGAGCCACAACACCCCACCTATATATATATATTTTGAGAGAGGGTCTCTATCACCCGGGCTGGAGTGCAGTGGTACAATCATGACTCACTGCTGCCTTGACCTGGGGGCTAAAGTGATCCTCCTGCCTTAGCCTCCCAAGCAGCTGAGACTACAGGCACATGCCACTACGCTCAGCCAATTTTTTGAATGTTTTGTAGAGATGGGGCTCTCATTATGTTCCCAAGGCTGGTCTTGAACTCCTGGACTCAAGCATTGGCCTCCCAAAGTTCTGGGATTACAGGAATGAGCCACAGCACTTGGCTGGGGATAAATTTTTTGTTTGTTTTGAGACAGAGTCTCACTCTTGTTGCCCAGGCTGGAATGCAATGGTGCCATCAGCTCACTGCAACCTCTGCCTCCCAAGCTCAAACGATTCTCTTGCCTGAGCTTCCTGAGTAGCTGGGATTACAGGCGAGTGCCACCATGCCTGGCTGATTTTTGGGAGTTCTTTTGTTTGTTTGTTTTCTTTTTGAGATGGAGTCTCGCCCTCTCGCCCAGGTTGGAGTGCAGTGGCATGATCTCAGCTCACTGCAGCCTCCCCTTTCCAGGTTCAAGTGATTCTCCTGCCTCAGCCTCCTGAGGCTGAGGACTACAGGTGGACATCACCATGCCTGGCTAATCTTTGTGTTTTTACTGGAGACAGGGTTTCACTGTATTGGCCAGGCTGGTCTCAAACTCCTGACCTCATTATCCACCCACCTTGGCCTCCCAAAGTGCTCGGATTACAGGTGTGAGCCACTGCACCTGGCATAATTTTTGTATTTTTAGTTGAGACAGGGTTTCACCATGTTGGCCAGGCTGGTCTGAAGCTCCTGGCCTCAAGTGATCCGCCCACCTTGGCCTTCCAAAGTGCTTGGATAACAGGTGTGAGCCACTGTGCCTGGCCTCAAAGTTTATTATATACCAGGAAGTAGGCTAAATGGTGTTCATTTTCTCATTTTATTGAATCTACAAAATAGTCCTAAGAAGCAAACACTGTTTTCAGCTAAGGAACTGGATTTAGAGTAATAAAGTTTTGTACCTAAGGTACATGGCTAATAAATAATACAGGTCAGATTCCATAGCTCTGCTTTTTTTTTTTTTTTTTTGAGACGGAGTTTCGCTCTTGTTACCCAGGCTGGAGTGCAATGGCGCGATCTCGGCTCACCGCAACCTCCGCCTCCTGGGTTCAGGCAGTCTTCCTGCCTCGGCCTCCTGAGTAGCTGGGATTATAGCACGCGCCACCATGCCCAGCTAATTTTTTGTATTTTTAGTAGAGACGGGGTTTCACCATGTTGACCAGGTTGGTCTCGATCTCTCGACCTTGTGATCCACCCGCCTCGGCCTCCCAAAGTGCTGGGATTACAGGCTTGAGCCACCGCGCCCGGCCATAGCCCTGCTTTTAACCACCGTACTGCCTCTCAAGAATTACTAGGTATTGTTCTCATTTATAGATGATAAATCTGAGACTCAGAGAAGGTAGGTAACTTGCCTAAGGTCCCCCAGTAGTAAATGATAGGATTTTTTTTTTTTTTTTTTGAGACGGAGTTTCACTCTTGTTACCCAGGCTGGAGTGCAATGGCACGATCTCGGCTCACCGCAACCTCTGCCTCCTGGGTTCAGGCAATTCTCCTGCCTCAGCCTCCTGAGTAGCTGGGATTACAGGCACGTGCCACCATGCCCAGCTAATTTTTTGTATTTTTAGTAGAGACGGGGTTTCACCATGTTGACCAGGATGGTCTCGATCTCTCGACCTCGTGATCCACCCGCCTCGGCTTCCCAAAGTGCTGGGATTACAAGCTTGAGCCACTGCGCCCGGCCAAATGATAGGATTTAAACTCTAGCAAGCCTGATTCCAAACCCCATGCTCTTTAGCCCTCCACTCTATTACCTTCTTAGATGAGGGAGACGGCTCCTGCTTGCTCTGCCATTCCCTATTTCACTTAAACCATTGAGTCCTGCCCCTTTGTCTGTTTTTGGGTATCCAGACAGGTAGATGAACTGCAACAACCGCTGGAGCTTAAGCCAGAGCCAGAGCCAGAGCTGGAGTGGTTAAAGCCAGAGCCAGAGCTGGAGTCGTTAAAGCCGGAGCCAGGCCTGGTGCCAGAGCTCGACCTGGACTTAGAGTCACTGCTGAAGGCAGGGCTGGATCTGGGCCCAGCACTAGAGTCTGTGCTGGAGTCCACTCTGGACCCTGTAATGGAGCCCACACTATGCACGGTATCACAAACAGTACCACAGCCAGACCAAGGACCTGTATCACAGCCAGTGCCAGAACCAGATTTGCCCTGTGATCTGAGACATTTGAACACTGAACCAATGGAAAGTAAGTGATGAGATGGAGCTATGGAAGAGGTACACATTCCCTTTCCTACCTCTTCTGCCACTCCCTCTCCATTACAGAAAAAGCTGAGCTTCAAGCTCCTTATTGGAAAGAGGCCCATTATCTCTGTGATTCCTTTGTTTAGGAATTACACATGACTTCCCCCACCTCCCTCAGGCTCTTCCCAGGCCTTTCCTGCCATCCTCCCTCCCTTTCCCTGCTGGGTTGGGAATTCCTAAGGTCAGGACCTAACTTTTCTCTCTGGATTACCTAGTCTTCAGAAACTGTATAAAGATTGAAGAAATCATGCCGAATGGTGACCCACTGTTGGCCGGCCAGAACACCATGGATGAGGCTTTCGTCTCCCGCCCCAGCCACTTCTACACTGATGGATCCTTGATGCCTTCTGACTTCTAGGAATCACATTTCCTCTGTTCTTTTTGTATCTCTTGCCCTTCCTACTCCTGATACCATGATGTTGCTCTCCAAGGATGTGAATCAGGCATGTGCCCCTTTCTAAGCTGGGTTAGCTGTTCAAACTCAGGCCTGTGTGACTCCACTGGGGTGAGAGGTGAAAGCATAACATGGATATGGAAGGGATAACAATGAATCAGAACAGATGTTGAGCCATAGATCTAGATAGGATCCTGGAGGCTGCCTGCTATACTGGGAGGTATAGGGGTCCTGGGGGCAGGCCAGGTCAGTTGACAGGCTCTTGGAGGGCTCAGGGCAGTGGCTTCTTTCCAGTATGGAAGGATTTCCACATTTTAATAGCCAGTTAGGCCCTTGGTAGGGAGCCCAGATACAGGATAGGACTCCATTTATTTCTTCCATTCCTTCATATCTAGGATAACTTTTCCTTTCTTCTTTTCTTCACTCCTGACTCAAGCCCTAAATTTCTTCTACTCCTGCAGGGGCTGAGAGCTTTCTGCCTTAGCCTACCATATGAAACTCCACCCTGAGGAAGGTGATGGACAGGAAGTAGACCTTTTTCTTTCTTACCAGTCTCCTCCCCTCTGCCCCTAAGCTGGCTGTACCTGTTCCTCCCCTATAAAATGATCCTGCCAATCTAATGTGCCTGTGAAGCTTTGCACACTAACTTATGCCACCTGGTCTCCACTCTCTCAATACTTATGAGATAGATCACTCCTGGAGGCCAGGGATGGTAGGGCTGCTGGGAATTTAGGAACTGCTTTTTTTTTTGAAACAGCATCTCACTTTGTTGCCCAGGCTAGAGGGCAGTGGCGCAATCACAGCTCACTACAGCCTCAACCTCCTGGGTTCAAGCAATCCTCCCACCTCAGCCTCCTGGGTAGCTGGGACCATGGCATGCGCCACCATGCCCTGCCGTTTTTGTTTTTGTTTTGTTTTTGTAGAGACAGGGTCTCGCTATGTTGCCCAGGCTGGTCTTGAACTCCTGGGCTTAAGTGGTCCTCACACCTTGGACTCCCAAAATGTTGTGATTATAGGCGTGAACCACTGTACTTGGCCAGGAATTTCTTTCTTTTCTTTTCTTTTTTTTTTGAGACAGAATTTCACTCTTGTTGCCTAGGCTGGAATGCAATGGCATGATCTCAGCTCACTGCAACCTCCCCTTCCTGGGTTCAGGTGATTCTCCTGGCTCAGCCTCCCAAGTAGCTGGGATTACAGGCATGCACCACCACACCAGGCTAATTTTGTGTTTTTATTAGGGACAGGATTTCTTCATGTTGGTGAGACTGGTCTCAAACTCTCAACCTCAGGTGATCAGCCTCCCAAAGTGTTGGGATTACAGGCATGAGCCTCCGTGGCCAGCAGAAATTTCTTGTTATAGTATTAGATAAAGTTTGGTGTTTTTACAGAGGAGAAGCACTGGGTCTCAGCTATTTCTCTATTATGATATCATCCTCCCTTTTTGGTACAATGTGTTGTTTACCTGAAAGGAAGGTTTCAATTCCTTGTGTGGACCTGGGCAAAGACCAAGTCCGTGGAACTTAAAACCTTGAAGGTCTGTTGTAGGACTCTGGACAATCTCACACCTTGGCTATTCGCAGGAAACCCCATTAGGCGACTGACATTCCTTTAAGATGTCCTTCTGATGTAACTTGAGATACAAATGAAAGGCCCTGCACAGGTGGCTGTTTCTTGTCTGTTATGTCAGAGGAACAGTCCTGTTGAAAAAGGGGCTCTTCTGAGCAGAAATGGCTAATAAACTGTATGTTGATCTGGAAATGTCTCATCTCTGAACTTCTTTATTTCTCTGCTCACAAAGACTAATGTTCTTAGGGACACCAACGAGCTACACAGAAATGAAGTCAGAAAACTGTGGCCTCTCTTCCATCCACCCCTCTATGTTCCTCTTAGCAGGTTTCTTCTTCCTCACTCCCTGTTTGGAGCAGCCTGTCCTGTCCCTTAGGCTCTTCCAGGGGTGCTGGGAGCTATATATGTGTTGTGGGGGGAGGGATGACTAGTCATATAACTATCTCATTGTCACTCAGCTGACTGGTGGCAAAGCCAAGATACAAACCTGTTTGGGTTTGTCTGACTTCAAAGCCCACACTCTCTGATGCTGTGACTATGGAAAAAAGGAAAGGAAATAATCACTAGCCACTTCCCCTCCTCTTTTTTCTTTTTCTTTTTCTTTTTTTTTTTTTTTAAGAATTTCAAGGCCGGGTCCGGTGGCTCAAGCCTGTAATCCCAGCACTTTGGGAAGCCGAGGCGGGTGGATCACGAGGTTAAGAGATCGAGACCATCCTGGTCAACATGGTGAAACCCCGTCTCTACTAAAAACACTAAAAATTAGCTGGGCATGGTGGTGTGTGCCTGTAATCCCAGCTACTCAGGAGGCTGAGGCAGGAGAATTGCTTGAACCCAGGAGGCAGAGGTTGCGGTGAGCTGAGATCGCGCCATTGCACTCCAGCCTGGGTAACAAGAGCAAAACTCCGTCTCAAAAAAAAAAAAGAATTTTAGCTATCCTTGAGTTACCAAACTTCCTTCCAAAGGGACTCCAAGGCCAGGCGCAGTGGCCCACGCCTGTAATCCCACCACTTTGGGAGGCTGAGGCAGGTGAATCACCTGAGGTCAGAAGTTCAAGACCAGCCTAACCAACATGGTAAAACCCTGTCTTTACTAAAAATACAAAAATTAGCTGGGCTTGGTGGTGGGTGCCTATAGACCCAGATACTCGGGAGGCTGAGGCAGGAGAATTGCTTGAACCTGGGCGGCGGAGGTTGCAGTGAGCCAAGATCACGCCATTGCACTCCAGCCTGGATGACAGAGTGAGGCTTCATCTCAAAAAAAAAAAAAAAAAAAAGAAAGAAAGGGACTCCAGATGTCCTTTGAGGGGAGAGTCCCATTGGTCTGGGAGATTTACCTTCATTTCCCTGGAATGCCCTTCCTGCTCAAAACTGAGCTCTGACTTTTGATCGTGCGGAGATCAGGACTCCTGTCTTGGGCCAGATATACCCTTGGCCAAGAAAGCAGGGAAGGAGGCACTGGATCAGGGAGCAAGGGACCCCTAGGTATGACCCCACTTCCTAATCTCAACCCTTGGTAATCCCATTCTACTTGCTCAGCCATATAGGAATTAATACCAAAGAGATCCCAGTTATTCTATACACCAGGGGGTCATGAGAAAATACCACTCTCCGCTATAGCCCTTCAGAGTAGAAGAAAGGGATGCATATTGTAGTCCCTTGGCCTTACTTTTCCATTGATTTCTCTTTCCCAATTGAGCCTAGAAATTAAACTCATATAGCCACAAAAATAAGTCTTTATTGAAAAAGGTACATTATTTAATATAAATATAATAAATAATACTCCCCAAACTGCCCCCAGGAGGATAAATAATGCCCGAATTTCCCTTCCCATCTAATAAATACTCAGCCCTATCATAGGTCAGCATCACAAAGTCAGTCAGTATTGCTAATTTTCAACATACGCAGGTCCCATTAAAATTAATGGACTAATTAACCGGTTGGCTCACAGGTGCCTGGGGTAGTAGATTTATCTTGGCCTTACTGGGCCATGGAGATCTGAGTGCCATCCTTGAGCTGTTGGCTTTAGGGACTCAGGGTTGCCGCTCCATGGGCAAAAACCCGGGCAGCTACAGCCACAAAGGCCTGGAGGCTGCGAAGGATTTTGAATCGGAGAAGGAGGCGCTGCCATGGCTGGCTGGGACTGGGGCTTGGAATCTGCTGAGTCTCCGAGTGGTGACCCTCAGGCTGAAAGGACATAGGACACAGTCAGAGAAGACTCTAGACCCTTAATCCCCAACCCTCTGTCTCTGACACCTGCAAGCCCCCATCCTCCAGGCCCCTAGTTCATACCTGCAGGAGTTGGCTGAGGCCAAGTAGGGAGGCATGAAGCTGGCCCACGGGGCTATCAGGGAGCAGAGAAGGCTCCCCTGTGAAAATATCCGATCCTAGCAGCTTCTCATAAAAAATCAGACCCTGGTGGATCCTTTGCAAGCAGAACTAAGGAGAAAAGAAAGCAATGAAAGAGGACACCCTCTTCCTACTCCATTCACTGAAGACTCACCCAGTTTCTTATGATTTTCAGACACAACTTCTAAGTTACCATGGTACCAAACCATGTTTTCAGGCCCCTCTTCTTCATGGCCCAGTCATATCCCAGTGGTACCTGACTGTTGTCCCTGAGTCCTTGGGGGTCACAGCCATCTCCACACTGGATATGGGGAGCATGGTTTGTAGTCTCTTCATCTCCCTCTTCTCTTAGATGCTGGAATGGAGAAAGGGGTGGAAAGAATGAAGAAGTAAGATAAGTATTTTTGAAGCCAACCTAGACCCTCAGGCCCATGGCTCTCAGGAACCTTACTCTCTTGTCCTCCCTTACTCCCTGATGGCCCTCAACCCTCCAGCTTCCACCCAAGGCCACAGTCTTCTACCACAGCCTTGGAGAGCTTGGAGAGATTCCTGTTTGGCTCCACAGGCTGCCACTCACCATGTGTCCCACTAGTGGATGTGCACTCCAGGCCAGCATGCAGAGCTTCTGTGAGAGCTGCTGGCATTGAGCCCAGGCAGGGCTGCTGCCCCCAGGCACAGCCCTGCCCTGAGCCATCCAGGGCAGTAGCAACAGCAGCATTACAGCTCTGCTCCCCAGCATCTTTTTGCCTCCTTCTCAAATCTGGCCGGCTCTGTGCCTTGCACAAGTCCTTGTGGAATCTCTGCCTACTTCCACTTGCTTTGAGCCTGACTCTCTCTGTTCAGGGCGTCTCTGGTAAGGTTCCCTCTGTTGTCTACGGAGTCTGTGAGCTGCTTCCTGTTGTTTTTCCCCCTTTGTCTCTGAGTCTTTTAATGTCCCTGCATTGAGGCCCGCCCTTTATGCCAGCAGGTGACTCACAGCAGGTGGGATTCCCCCTCTGTGGGGAGCCCAGGTATGCAGCCTCAGTTCCAGGAGAAATGAGTCGTGTGGTTGCTGTGGCTAGAGGCCTGGGATGGGACACATGTGTAATGCTCTCCAGGAATCGAAATGGCTATTGAAGGGGCGGGGACGGCACAGCGGGGATGGGGCTGGGGCGAGAGGGGGAAGAATAGTAACACATATTTAAATTAATCTGGTGTAAGTTCCTTCCTGCTTGATCTTTCCCTCATCTTTTTGCCTCTCAAAGCTATACCCCTAACACACCCCAAACCTAATTTCATCACCTCTTCCTGCTTGAGGGAAAACCAAAACAGAGAAGCATTCATTCATCTCCCAATAGGATGGTGAGCTGTTTGCAATGAAGTTTGATTCCTACCTGATGCCCTCCCATTAAGAATAAACGGCCGGGCGCGGTGGCTCAAGCCTGTAATCCCAGCACTTTGGGAGGCCGAGGCAGGTGGATCACAAGGTCAAGGGATCGAGACCATCCTGGTCAACATGGTGAAACCCCGTCTCTACTAAAAATACAAAAAATTAGCTGGGCATGGTGGCGCGTGCCTGTAATCCCAGCTACTCAGGAGGCTGAGGCAGGAGAATTGCCTGAACCCAGGAGGCGGAGGTTGCGGTGAGCCGAGATTGCGCCATTGCACTCCAGCCTGGGTAACAAGAGCGAAAACTCCTTCTCAAAAAAAAAAAAAAAAAGAATAAACGGCCTTCTTCTCAGTTGGAAATAGCATGATTTCCACCGGATGGTCCTGTTTCACAGGACAGAATGGACAGGAAGGAACTTGGAGAACTGGGAAGCAGGCCTCACAGTAGAGGTTAGAAAGGCACTTGTGGGAAGAGGGTTACTAAGAACCACCTGATTCTTCAAACCTAGTGGCCGGAGATTTCATAGGCTCTCTAAGAGTTGGGTGATGTTTTTTTTTCAGGATACTAGTGTAAATAAGGGCTGGAAGACCAACTTAGACATTCCAGCACCTAGTCCCATGGCCTCATTCTGATGTCATCCAAATTGTTCTGGGACCCTCCACTGGGGTTGGGGCAGTCCCAGCTTTGGACCCCATGGCTAGGAAGCCCAGGAGTTCTGGGTAGTTGAAGGTGTACAGTTTCAGTGACTCTGGCTGGTCCTTCAGCTTGTTGCATCCATGGGTAAAATCCACTGACACCGATTTCATCACCTTCCATGATGCAACATCTAGTGAAACAGCTTAGAGTGTGAGGTTGGGCGTGGGAGTATAAGGTGGTCCAAAGCCGGGACTGCCCCAACCCCAGTGGAGGGTCCCAGAACAATTTCAAAGACGTCAGAATGAGGCCATTGGTGACCACACAGCTAGCTCCCAAAGCCTGCCCCAAGAGGCTGACCCTTTTCTTCCTAGAAACTTGTCCTGAATGGAGGTCTCCCTTCCCTTAGAACTATTCAAAACTGCCCAATGACACTTCTCGTTCAAGTATTATGATTCTGTAGGGTATGAGCTGGGAGAAGAAAAAAATATTATAATTCTGAATTAAATCGACCCTTTAGGCCGGGTGTGGTGGCTCACGCCTGTAATCCCAGCACTTTGGGAGGCCAAGGCGGGTGGATCACGAGATCAAGAGATAGAGACCATCCTGGTCAACATGGTGAAACCCTGTCTCTACTAAAAACACACAAAATTAGCTGGGCATGGTGGCACGTGCCTGTAATCCAGTTACTCAGGAGGCTGAGGCAGGAGAATTGCCTGAACCCAGGAGGCGGAGGTTGCGGTGAGCCGAGATGGCGCCATTGCACTCCAGCCTGGGTAACAAGAGCGAAACTCCGTCTCAAAAAAAAAAAAAAAAAAAAATCTACCCTTTAGATCAAACATTTAAAGTATCAGAGAATTATCTGAGTTTGCGTGAGAAATGTTTTGCCTTCCTCTCTAATGCGGGCCTTTCCAGTGCAGTGGTGTGATCTCCGCTCACTGCAACCTCCGCCTCCCGGGTTCAAATGATTCTCCTGCCTCAGCCTCCCAAGTAGCTGGGATTATAAGCACGCGCCACCACGCCCAGCTAATTTTTGTGGACACAAATGGAATAAATGGAAGGGGGCAGGATAGGGAGTTTACCTTACTTGTGTACAATGTCTCCTATGCTCTTCCCATCTCTGGTCCCCATTCTGGGAGCTCTAAAAGATAACAGATGAAAGAAAGATCAAAAGGAGGAGGAAGTAGAGCCTGGGGGATGGGATGAGAGGGACAAGGGTGAGTTGGAGGCACGGGGCTCGTCCTCTCTGTTTCACTTCCTGGTGCTGCGGGAGTTGGGTAGGAAGCAGGGTTGGTGGGGAGATTGTGGGACTGTTGCGTGGCAGGAACTACTTCCAGGGCTACATCTGGCCTGGAGCTATAAGGAGCCCTTGACGTCAGCTGGCCTAGACCGTTATGCAAATCACATTCACAAGACACTCCTAGGCTTTCCAGTTGTATGCCTAGACTCTAAATCCAGTTGAAGTTCCCCCAGGTGGTTAATAATGATGGCTAACATATATCCAACTCTCGCTTAATGCCAAGTACTTTGTCTAAGTACTTGTACTAAACTATTTAATTTTCACAACAACCCTTTAAGGTAGATACTATCATTACCCCATATTACAGATGAGGAGACTGAGGTGCAGAGATAAGCAATTTGCCGAAGATCACAGAGCTTCTAAGTTGCTAGAATTCTTTTCTGTCTTTTCCTTTTTTTTTTTTCTTTATTGATGGGGTCCATGTTAACCAGGATGTTCTTGATCTCCTGACCTGGTGATCCTGCCTCGGCCTCCCAAAGTGCTGGGATTACAGGTGTGAGCCACCATGCCAGGCCTTTTTTTGTGTGTGTGAGGTAAAAAAAAAAAAAAAAAGAACTGGGTAACAGCTCCTGTTACCCAGGCTGGAGTACAACAGTGCGATCTCAGTTCATCCCAACCTTCGCCTCCTGGGTTCAAGCTTTCCTCCTGCCTCAATCTCCCCAGTAGCTGGGATTACAGGCATGCACCACCACGCCTGGCTAATTTTGTATTTTTAGTAGAGACAGAGTTTCTCCACGTTAGTCAGGCTGGTCTTGAACTTCCAACCACAGGTAATCAGCCTGCCTTGGCCTCCCAAAGTCCTGGGATTACAGGCGTGAGCCACGGTGGCTGGCTTTAGTGGCTAGAATTCTAATGCAATCTATCATCAGATCCTGCATTCTTTTTTGTTCTTGGTGTTTGGGGGATTTTGTTGAGACATGGTCTCACTCTGTCACCGAGGCTGGAATGCAGTGGCATCATTTTGGTTCACCACAACCTCCACCACTAAGTGATCTCTCCATTTTCAGCCTTCTCAGTAGCTGAGACTACAGGCACAAGCCACTATCAGGGCCTGGATCCTGAATTTTTTTTTTTTTTTTGAGACAGAGTCTCACTCTGTCGCCCAGGCTGGAGTGCAGTGACATGATCTCAGCTCACTGCAACCTCCCCCTCTGGGGTTCAAGCGATTCTCCTGCCTCAGCCTCCCAAGTAGCTGGGACTACAGGTGCACACCACCATGCTCAGCTAATTTTTGTACTTTGTTTGTTTGTTTGTTAGTTTGAAACGGAGTTTCGCTCTTGTTACCCAGGCTGGAGTGCAATGGCACAATCTCGGCTCACTGCAACCTCCGCCTCTCGGGTTCAGGCAATTCTCCTGCCTTAGCCTCCTGAGTAGCTGGGATTACAGGCACGCGCCACCATGTCCAGCTAATTTTTTCTATTTTTAGTAGAGACGGGGTTTCACCATGTTGACCAGGATGGTCTTGATCTCTTGACCTTGTGATCCACCTGCCTTGGCCTCCCAAAGTGCTGGGATTACAGGCTTGAGCCACCGCACCCAGCCTAATTTTTGTATTTTTAGTAGAGACAGGATTTCAGTTTGTTGGCCAGGATGGTCTCCATCTCTTCACCTTGTGATCCACCTGCCTTGGCCTCCCAAAGTACTGGGATTATAGGTGTTAGCCACCGCACCCAGCCTGGATCCTGAATTCTTTTTTCTTTTCTTTTTTTTTTTTTTTTGAGACGGAGTTTCGCTCTTGTTACCCAGGCTGGAGTGCAATGGCGAAATCTCGGCTCACCGCAACCTCCGCCTCCTGGGTTCAGCCAATTCTCCTGCCTCAGCCTCCTGAGTAGCTGGGATTACAGGCACGCGCCACCACGCCCAGCTAATTTTTGTATTTTTAGTAGAGACGGGGTTTCACTATGTTGACCAGGATGGTCTCGATCTCTTGACCTCATGATCCACCCGCCTCAGCCTCCCAAAGTGCTGGGATTACAGGCTTGAGCCACCGCGCCCGGCCCCTGATCCTGAATTCTTAATCATTACATTACATTGGATACTGTAGGCAAGGTATGGTGGCTCATGCCTGTAATCCCAGCACTTTGGGGGCTGATTTGATGTCATCCAAATTGTTGTTCTGGGACCCTCCACTGGTGTCGGGGCAGTCCCAGCTTTGGACCCCATGGCTAGGAAGCCCAGAAGTTCTGGGTAGTTGAAGGTGTACAGTGTCAATGACTCTGGCTGATCCTTCAGCCTGTTGCGGGAGGATTGCTTGAGCTTAACAGTTTGAAACCAGCTTGGGCAACGTGGTGAAACTCCATCTCTACAGAAAAATACAAAAAATTAGCCAGGTTTGGTGGCCCATGCCTGTAATTCTAGCTACTTGGAAGACCGAAGTAGAAGGATCACTTGAGCCCAGGAGGTTGAGGTTATAGTGAGTGAGAGGGCCAATGCACTCAAGCATGGGCAACAGACCCTGCCTCAAAAAACAAACAAAAGGCCAGGTGCGGTGGCTCACGCACCTGTAATCCTAGCGCTTTAGGAGCCCAATGCAGGCCAATCACCTGAGGTCAGGAGTTTGAGACCAGCCTGACCAACATGGTGAAACCCCTTCTCTACTAAAAAT